TTTTGTGTCTATTTGTGCATCGTCATTTAGCGTAAACTACTATTTTAGGCATCAAGTGCTGTCATAAATCCTTTCCATATATGATACGAGTAAATGACTATCAACCTATCGTATATATTAGTACTACTACTCAACCTACTCTACTTGTGATACGTTAAGCTGTTGCACCCCTCCAAAGGCCAGTTGTTATGTTACGCTACCAGTCGAGGACCACGTACGTTTATGTCCACAACTATGGTTACGCTTTTTTTGTAATGTTTCGACGTTACAATAGGCTAATTTAGAGACGATTATGTAAATTGTTATAAGTAAATCTTGTCATTTTGAAAGCTATGGGTCAAGAATTTTCTAGCCCCATTAGATTTGCTAGAGTATGCTACAAGGTACATACGTACGACCACTCTTGAAAGAGATGTGTCATACGACTATACACTGCACCTTAGTATAGCTGTATAGATATTTAAAATGTCGATTTGAAGAATTGAAGGGAAATGCATACTCAAGTGAATGCGAGTTATGAGTAAGGTAAGATTAGATTTGGCAAAACTTACTCAAATCTAAAGTTGCAAATTGATCAATCCAGTCTAAATGATTCGACTCTTACTTGAATGGTACCTAAATCTAAATGACTTAAATTAAAATCAATCTAGCTAACCCAAACCAGAACTAAAAGTGAAATACTCCATATGATATGAGTTGTACCCAATTAATTTTTGTCTATCTGAGGGTATAATTGTCTTTTCAAGTATCAGTGGAGGGGTACATGCGTCTTTTCATGTACTAACTGAAGTGTACATGTGTAATTTTCTTGCCAAACAGTAAAAACAAGTTGCAAACAATAATTGGACAGCTCACCAAAAGTATTGAATAAATAACCACGTCTTTTCAATATATTTACAGAAATGTCATCAGATTAACAAAAATTCGTTTATCTGGCAGATGAACTTGTATTTGCCCATATTATATACTCTTTTTTTTTTGGTGGTAACTAGGGGTGTACACCGGTCCAAAACCGGACCGGACCTAGACCGGACCTGTTTGGACCGGGGACCTGAATTGGGTAATTATGAGGACTGGGGACCGGACCTGAATTAACAGGTCCGGTTCCGGGCCAGACCTGAAAAATCAGGTCCGGTCCGGGTTTGGACCTGAATGGACCTGTTTTGTGTCTTTTTCGTTTTTTTTTTAATACAAAACCTGTTGGACCTGCATATGGACCTGTTTTGTGATTTTTAGACCTGTTGCATAATTTAATAATTACATACAAACCAAAATTATCAATTACAAAACTACATAAAGTCTATAAAGTCCCGATTCTCAAACACCAAAAATACAAATGAGTCCACCGAAAATACAAATAAGTCCACGAAAACTCATAAAATTACATAAATTCTCTTAAGTCTCAACTCTCAAGTACTAGAAATACATAAATTCTCCAACGAGTTGTTTTCCCTTTGATCGCGTGATTCACACTAATGAGTCCACGAAAACAACTTCATCGTCTACATCGTTAGATTCACCACGTTGCACCTCTAAATAAAATACAATATAGAATATATTAATGATTGATAACAATGAAATAATAAATTTGGTGTAACAAAATTTCAAATACATAAAATTATTACTACCTTTCTCTATTTCCTCTAACTCTTTCAAATTTTCTTCCACATCAACAATTGGCACTTCCTTAGCTCTAAGCCAATCTTGTGTGCAAAGTAATGCTTGAACCATCTTCAATACAAAAATATTACACAAATATGTATAAACAAAGTCATATTAAGATATAAACAAACTTGATTTTATAAAATAAAAAGATAACGATGCATTACCTTAGGAGTTAAAGAACTCCGAAATGGATCTAGAGTACGACCTCCCGTACTAAAAGCAGATTCCGATGCAACGGTCGACAATGGGATGGCTAGTATGTCACGTGCCATGCGATTAAGAATCACATAACGCTGACCATTCTTACCCCACCATGTCAATGCATCTTGTTCTTCCTCCTCCGGCCCTAATTGATCATTTAAGTACCTATCCAACTCACTTATCGCATACCCACTTGTCCCCTTCAATCGTTTTGCTCTTTCTTTTAGATTCCTCACATAATCGGAACCCACTCCTTTACTATTATCAATATCCATTGACATATTATCTCCACAATCTGGAATATTAGAAGTAGCATACATTTTTCTATAATCCTCAAATAAAGAGTAAGCGAACTCCTTCACATCATTAGCAAGTTTTGTACCCTTTTCCGGTCCATGCATATCCGTTAGTGTCAATTCAACAATGACCATCTTAGAGTGAGGGTCGAGAAGAAGAGCAACATAAATGAACTTATTCATCTTATCCACATCCCCCCAATACTTATCAAACTTTTTTTTCATTGCAATGGCCATAGCTTGAAAATTCAAGTCCTCACTTTGTTCCCAATTATTCAACATATCATACATAGAAGCTGTTTCGGGGTTTTTTGATGTGTCCTGCGGGAGAGTTACAATTCCAAGAATGCCCTTCGATGCCTGTGCCTGCAAAATCACGAAGACTCCTGGGGGTAGGAGCTCCGCCTCCGACGATCAAGTTAGTAAAGATACGGGAGGTAGAATGCACGTAATGTGGAAGTTACTTCTCGCGTAATGGGAGAATTCTGCAATTAATATTACTCGGGGTAAGAGTGTTTCTTTTTGAGGAGTATTCAATGTGATCAACAAATGTTCCAACCCCCATTAATGAGGGTCCTTCCACTATTTATAGTGGGGAAGGGATGGTTCCCCTTTTAGGGTTTAGAGGACACGTGTCAGCAGAGGATTGGAGCCCTGCTGACCAACGGCTGGATGCCACGTGTCACTAGGCCATTGGGCCACGTGTTTAGGGTATTTTTACCCCAAACATTTGCCCCTCACTGGTGCTGACGTGGCAGGGTGCCACGTGGCGCCGGTGAAAGGTTTTTTTTTTTTTTTTTTTTTTTTTTTTTTTTTTTTTTTACTCTTCAGATTCCTTTTGAAGGATGGAAAAGCATAAGGCGAAGAGTCACGACTTTTCACCTTCTGGGACAAATTCTATAAATAGGAGAAGATGTCCCCCGAGCTCTCATTTACAAACTTTGCCAAATTTCTGAAGATTTGAGAGCAGCCGGCAATTTGAGAGTTGAGAGCATTCGGAGGTGAGATTCGTTGAGAGCAACCGGTCTACAGACCGTCTAGGTCGTTGCAAGCTAGCCAAAGATTTTCGAGAGGGTAATCAGAGAAACCCAGCCGGATTTTGAACCGCCTGCGTCTTCGCAAGCATCCCAGAGAATTTCCAGATTTTCTTCTAGGTACCGTCTCTATTCTTTCTAGCTTTTTCATGTATTTCCGTTTGAGTCTTTTACTCGCATTTTTGTTCATTGGTCCCATAAGTAGATGGACCCCTTATACCCATACCCGGAACCTAGCTGTGAACTCAGCCGGTTTATTAGTACGGCTGAGTCTAGAACTGGGTCTGCCGCCTCTGTTCTTTGGGACAACCCTTTTTCAACACCCATATCGACCGACTCTGTGTCTGTGCAGGACACAATGGCCAGAATCCGGTCTACTGCCAGAGATCCCAACTACAGAAGTGGGAGCTCAGATGAGCAGCCGCCTGAGGTCCCAGCTTCAGGCGGTGAAGTAGAGCATGGAGAGGTAGAGCAGAGAGGCTCACCCGGGGGCGCTCCTAGCACCCCGGGTGATAGCATTTTAAACGAAGAGAGTGCTCCCCTCCAGGAGACCAGAGAGCAGGTAGGCTCTGATAAGGAGGTCTCCAACTCCCCAGCCGGCTCTGATGCCGGTCACGTTCAAAGTAGCAGTAGCAGCTACTTAACCGAATCTGAGGATAGCGAGGAGGCGGAGAGGCCTTCTTGGGATAATAGGAACGATCCTCTCATGATCGCCGTCTCCTCCAAGGACCGCGAGCTCATGCGGGCTGCGCTGCCAGATTTTATCAAACGGCGGCCGCTGGGTGGTGACTATACAATAAAAGTCCCGGCTGCTCTGGGAACAATATGGTGGGAGGATGGACAACCGAACACGAACGCTTGGTTCGGGTGCTACGAGGCGGCCTTCGTGGCCGGAGTCCGCTTCCCTCTCCACGACACAATAAAAGCCATACTTAGGGGGTATGGCCTAGGTCTCTGGCAATTAACCCCCAACTCATGGGTAAATATTTTAGGGTATATCGCCGCCTGCGAGATGCAGGGCCTCAACCCCGGCTGGGAGGCGTTTGCCCACATGCATTACCTGAGTAGAAGCCCAGGCGGCTGGAGAGCCTGGTATACCTTGACCACCCAGCCCAAATACCTTATGACCTTGGACAAGCCATCCAAATGGTCGGACTGGAAGCACCGGTTCTACTTGGTTAAGGCCCCAACTACGGCAGAGAACAGAGAATTCCGGATCTACAACCGGAAACCAGAACTCTTGGGGACCAAGTGCTGCCTGCCCCCTGTCCCGGAGGATGATAGAGAGACCATCCTTGACTCCGGGTTTTTTGAGTTAGTTCCTGACACCCTCTCATCCGGAGAGATAGTAAGGGTACCTAGAAACAGGGTGCCCAAACATGAATTTTTTAGGGACGAATGCTTCTTGTCCGCTTGTGGTCTAAGCAGCATGTTTGAAAAACGTATGTATTCGGAACTCAGCCGGTTTCTTTCGAACCGGATGCTTTTATTTCCTTGCTTATTTATTATTCTAACCGTGTGGCTTCCTCTGCAGAAGAAGCCAAGAGAATGCTGCCCACCGAGAAGACACCGGCTAGGTCGGCTGCCGACATCTGGAAAGCCAATCTCGAGAAAAAACTTGCTGCCCAGGCGGCGAAGAAGGTATAACCGTCTGATCCTTCTCGTTTATGTCAATCCTTTTATCCCATAACTTATATTTTTCTCGTTTACAGGACGGGAAGCAGATGCCCCGGTCCCTTCAAAAACAGGTCAGGCCTCCGCCGACCCAACAAGAGTCTGCATCCAAGGTGCAGAAGATAGCCGACCGGCAAACTACCGGCGGCAAATCAATAAGGGTCCCAGACGGGCCTGGATCTGCGGATGTGCTTTCTGCCATCCCATTGAGGACCGCAACCGGTCCCTCTGAAGGCCGTTCGGGCCGCCAAGGTAACTTCGACCTTACACTGCTTGACCTGCCCATGCGGGTCAAGTCTTATTCACAGTCTCGATCGCAGCCGGGGGATTCTCCAATCAGCCGGCAATCTATAGGCAAAGCATATGCGAGTTTCTCACCGTCTGTTTCTGGTGCAGATAATTCTCCCCGCTGGCCGGACGGGGCACAATATGCCCGGGCCATGCTGAAAGCCGTCCCCAGGGACGAGAAGGAGGCGATCCCTGGGATCAACTCCTTTAATGTCGACCGGGTGCTGGTCGACCTGGCCGACGTATGCTCCAACAACCATGCGGTAATTTTCTTGACGTGCATTTTTAAGTATGCAGTATTAACCGGCTGTATTTTTGCAGGCTATGCTGCGCGTAGAGGGGCTCAAACGAGCTTATACCCGCAAGTCTGAGGAGGTAAGGAGAAGAAAACGGGCTGTTGATGACGCCCATAATGTTGCTGACTACTCTTTGTACATGCATGGCTTAGAATCTAAATCTATACGCATGGAACAGGCGGAGAAGACCAAAGCCCTCCAACAGCAGATTGATCAGCTGAAAAACCAAGTTGACCAACTGCAGGCGTCCCTGGATGATGCCAATAAAAAGTTGGAGGAACAGACTGAGCCCCTCCAACGGCTGAGCAAGGCGGAGACTGAAAATGGCCGCCTTGCCAAAGAGAATGAGCGCCTGCGCAAAGAGGCGGCTGCTGCCAATGAGAACTTCAAGGCCACCTTGGAGTCGGAGCAGGAGAGGCTCATTGAAGAGAATGAGCATGACTGTGCAAACCGGATGCAACGGGCGTTTTCCCTCATCCACCCGGAGGCGGACTTCACCGTCTGGGAACTCGCCTTCAAATATTCTGATCTTGCCATTCTGGCCGAGGAGGCGAACGAGCCGGGGCCCGGACCCTATGACGCTTGGGTTAGGGAGGAGATTGCGCGACGGCAGGCGGAGGCTGCTGAAGAGGAAGAAGTCGTTCCTGAAGCCGACGCAGCCGCTCACCCTGATCCAACCCAGAACCAACCGGAATAGGACCGGCTCACTGTTCGCCTGGAGTAGCAACTACTTCCCGGCCTGCGAGCCTAGCATTATCTTGTAATAGCGCCGGATGAGATGGGCTAAGCTGTAATAATTTTTATTTTGAATATAAACATTTTCACCGGCTGAGCCGGCTTTTGAATGCTTTTTATGTTTCTGCACTCCAATATTAGAATTCTTGTTATTTTTTATACATATTTCTGCGAGGATAACCAAAAGAACCCCGCCGGTAACACTACCGCTTGGGTCTGCGCAAACAGCAAAGAAATTTGCAAAGGTTGCCAAGAAGACCCCACCGGTAACACTGCCGTCTGGGTCTTCACAAACTAGGCGAAGAAATTTGCAAGGGTTGCCAAGAAGACCCACCGGTAACACTGTCGTCTGGGTCTTCGCAAACTAGGCGAAGAAATTTGCAAGGGTTGCCAAGAAGACCCCACCGGTAACACTGCCGTCTGGGTCTTCGCAAACTAGGCGAAGAAATTTGCAAGGGTTGCCAAGAAGACCCCACCAGTAACACTGTCGTCTGGGTCTTCGCAAACTAGGCGAAGAAATTTGCAAGGGTTGCCAAGAAGACCCCACCGGTAACACTGCCGTCTGGGTCTTCACAAACTAGGCGAAGAAATTTGCAAGGGTTGCCAAGAAGACCCCACCGGTAACACTGCCGTCTGGGTCTTCGCAAACTAGGCGAAGAAATTTGCAAGGGTTGCCAAGAAGACCCCACCGGTAACACTGCCGTCTGGGTCTTCGCAACTAGGCGAAGAAATTTCGACCCAAAACCAAACCGGATGGCGTCTGGGTAATTGCCCCTGGATAGCGGTCTGGGTCTTTGCAAGCCAGGCGACTATCCATATGATATAGCTCGAATATACACTAAGTGCCAACATTAGATTCGGGAGCCAGTCGGTTTATACTGAATTACCGGTCGGGACTTCGCAAAAGAATCACGCCAGATTAGGATGTCCATTCACCGGTTGGGCTTTTGCAAGCATACCCCTGAATGAATTATGGCCTAGACCAAATGCTTAGGCCTGCTCTTAGAGAGTCAGGCGGCGGTACTGAGTACCGGCTGTCCTTCCAAAAAGTGAGCCGGCTGCAAGTTTGGGGTTGCTAGCCTGCCCCCCTTTTTTTTTGTGCGAAGGATCGTCAGGCGGATTTGACCGCCTGTGTGATCGCTTAGAACAATTTACCACCCAAATGGGAGATGTTCTCTTCGGTGAATTCACCCGTATGGGTGTCACCGGATGATTTTAGGCCTGCTCTTAGAAAGTCAGGCGGATTTGTCCAAAAAGTGAGCCGGCTGCAAGTTTGGGGTTGCTAGCCTGCCCTTTTTTGGTGCGAAGGATCGTGTGATCGCTTAGAACAATTTACCACCCAAATGGGAGATGTTCTCTTCGATGAATTCACCCGTATGGGTGTCACCGGATGAAAAAATTAGTTACTGGTGCCGCTTGTGGTAGGCACAAGACATGGCGACTGTATACAAAATTGAATGTAATTCTCATTAATCATTTGAAAATTTTCAAAAGATGTACAATGCTTAGAAGTAGTATTTTTTGAGGTTATCTACATTCCAAGTTCTAGGCAACTTTCTTCCGTCTGGAGTTTCCATGCGGTAAGTGCCGTCTCGTACTTCTTCAAAGATCCGGTAGGGTCCCTCCCAATTTGGGGTTAATTTGCCTTGTTCATTGGCCCTACCGGTTGCCTCCATTTTGCGAAGCACAAAATCTCCTTCTTTCAAAGGTCTTTTACGAACCCGCTTGTTGTAGGCTCTAGTCATACGCAGACGGTAGATCTCATGACGCAAGGCAGCATTCCCCCTTCGCTCTGGAAGAGCGTCTAATGCCAACCGCATGGCTTCCCAGTTAGCCTCCTCATCATATAACATAATGCGTAGAGTAGGCTCATAATGTTCAATGGGAAGAACTGCTTCACTGCCGTATGTCATGAGAAATGGGGTCTCACCGGTTGCCCCCTTTTCGGTTGTCCGGATAGCCCAAAGGACATGAGGTAATTCCTCTGCCCATAGTCCACCGGCTCTTTCTACTTTCTTCTTTATCCCGTCTGAGATCAACTTGTTAAAAGCCTCAACTTGACCGTTTGCCTGAGGACGGCCAACGGATGCAAAACAATGGGAAATTCCTTGGTCTCCCAACCAGGTCTTCAGGACAGGCGTTTCGAACTGCGGTCCGTTGTCAAAAACCATGGACATTGGAACCCCGAACCGGGTGATGACGTTTCTCCAGATGAAAGAAATCACGTCTTTCGTTTTAATCCCTTTTACCGCCTCTGCCTCAACCCATTTGGTGAAGTAGTCTACTGCTACAAGAATGTAGCGGCGGCCGCCTGACGCAGGCGTATAAGGTCCCAAAATGTCCATGCCCCATTTAGCAAACGGAACCGGACTATGGATTGCCGTGAGTTCTGTTGCCGGTTGATGTATCAACTTAGCGAATTTTTGACACTTGTCGCATCTCTTTACTAGATCCATGGCATCCGCTTCAAGAGTGGGCCAGAAGTACCCTTGCCGTCTGGTTCTTCTGGCCAGGGACCTGCCGCCAATATGCGAGGCACAAAACCCCGCGTGCAGATCTTCCAAAACTTCTCTCCCCCTATCCGGGGTTACACATTTCAAAAACGGCTGCCGGTATCCCTTCCGGAGGAGTTCCCCTTGATGCATAACAAAACTTGAAGCACGCTTCTTGAGCGCTGATGCTTCTGAAGGGTCATCCGGCAAGGTACCATCCGTAAAAAAGGACCGGATGGGATCCATCCAGGTAGCGGTTCTGTCCAAGACTCCAATGGGATCATTCTGAATACTTCGTTTTTCAATGACTTCCCAAAAGACCGTCCTAGGAGCATCACCGGAGGCTGATGATGCCAACTTTGAGAGGGCATCCGCCTGATTGTTTTCAGACCGGGGCACCTGTCGCAGATGAAATTCATCGACGGACCCAGCCTCCTCTTTGACCGCCTGCAAATATTTGATCATAGCCGGATGGGTGGCTTCGTAGTCACCAAGGTATTGGCTAACGATCAGCTGTGAATCTGAGCAGGCGTCGACCTTTCTTGCACCGGCTGCCTTACACATGCGCAATCCGGCTAGCAGGGCTTCATACTCTGCCTCATTGTTGGAGGCTTGGAACTTAAATCGTAGTGCATATTCAAACTTATCCCCTTCCGGGGAATGACAGATAACACCTGCACCACAGCCGTTCACCGTAGAGCTGCCGTCTACAAATAACTTCCAGACCTGATCAGGGTTTTCCGGGTGCACCGGCCTAGTCATCTCGACAATAAAGTCGGCAAACTCCTGACCTTTCACTGCCCGCCTGGGTTCAAAAGTTATCTCAAGGCCTTGTATTTCAACAGCCCACTTGATCATTCTACCGGATGACTCTATAGCAGTCATCGTAAGCTTGAGCGGCTGATCTGTGTATACCACAACCGGATGTGCCAAAAAGTAAGGCTTCAACCGCTTGACTGCTACGAATAAGGCCAACCCAAATTTTTCGATCATGGGGTACCGGAGCTCAGCATTTTTTAAGACATGGCTGATGAAGTACACCGGCAGCTGAATGCTGTCTCTCTCAGCGAGGAGAACGGCACTAAGGGCGTGATCAGAGACGGCTAGGTACATGTACAGAACCTCCCGGGGTAGGGGGCTCACTAGCCTTGGCAAAGAATGCAAGTGCTGCTTAAGCCTCTGGAATGCCGCCTCTGCTTCTTCACCCCATTCAAACCTTGACCTTTTCCTGATTGCCTGAAAGAAGTAGAGGCACTTGTCACCTGACCGGCTGAGGAACCTCCCCAATGCCGCCAGACAACCGGTCAACTTCTGGACTTCTTTTACAGTGCGGGGAGACTTCATGTCAATTACCGCCTGTATTTTGTCCGGATTAGCTTCGATGCCTCTTTGGTCAATCAAGAATCCGAGAAACTTCCCAGACTCAACACCAAATACGCATTTCTTTGGGTTAAGCATGACCCGGTGCCGCCTGAGTGTGGTGAAGGTTTCTCGCAGGTCTGCTAGGTGATCCGTCTGTAGCTTGGATTTGACTATCATGTCATCGATATACGCCTCTACATTCCTTCCAATCTGGTTGATAAAAACGGTGTTTATCATGCGCTGGAATGTAGCCGGTGCATTCTTCAACCCAAACGGCATCACCGTATAGCAGAATAACCCCTGATCAGTGACAAAAGCCGTCTTCTCCTGATCTTTCTTCCAGAGAGGTATTTGATGGAAGCCGGAATAAGCATCCATAAAGCTCATTAGCGCATGGCCGGCTGTTGAGTCGACTAGGCTGTCAATCTTTGGAAGCGGGTAGCTATCTTTTGGGCATGCTTTGTTCAGATCTGTGTAATCCACACACATCCGCCAAGTACCGTTCGGCTTCTTTACTAGAACGACATTTGCCACCCAATCCGGGTAGTAGCATTGCCTAATGAACCCAGCATCCAACAGCTTTTTGACCTCAGCCGCTGCCGCTTGAGATCTTTCTCCACCATGATCCCTCTTTTTCTGCCTAACCGGCTGCTTTTTGGGATCTACGGCTAGCTTGTGGACAACAAGATCCGGGCTGACGCCTGGCATCTCTTCCACTTCAAAGGCAAAGATGTCTTTGAATTCCTTCAGCAGCTGGAGCAAACCTTCTCCCAACCGTTCGAAGGCTACCGTCCCGACCTTGACTTTTCTTTCAGGACGGCTGTCATCTAGGATGACATCAAGGCAGTCACCAGCCGGCTGAGGTCGTTGGTCATCTGACCTTTCCCCGGCTAGTGATTGCTATTTCTCTTTTTTGACGGGTGCCAGTTGGTCCGCCTTTCTTTTCATACCGGCTGCCCTTGGAGCCGGGACTGCTGGATCGCAGTTATCAATATCTATGGGCTCGCCCTGGCCGGCTGCACCCACAGTTGTCTTGACGTCAGAGAGATAGCACTCTCTTGCCGTCTTCTGGTCCCCGCTTAGGGCACCGACTGTACCATCATCCTTTTGAAATTTGACCAACATGAGGGACGGGATGATGACAGCCTTAGATGCGTTGAGGGTAGGACGGCCAAATATCATGTTGTAGGCGGACAACTCCTCCACAACTAAAAACTTGACTATCATGTGGCGTCCTTGCCCCTTTTCACCCAGCCGGATCGGAAGATCTATGCTTCCGACCGGATGCACTACTCCACCCCCAAAACCGACTAGTGGGTGAGGAGCCTGGTGCATG